GTTGTTGATAACATATTTGTGGTTTTCTCATCTGTCTTGGGTTGTCTTAATGCGCATCATAATTGTGAAGCAGTGGAACAAAGAAGAAGAGGAAAAGTTCAAAACGAAAGTGGTAGAGGCTTATGACAGAGAAGCGAGTCCTTATTACTCAACAGCAAGGCTTTGGGATGATGGAATCATTGATCCAGCGGATACAAGAAAAGTCATTGGTCTATGCATCTCTGCCTCCTTGAATCGTGCCATTGAAAAAACAAAATATGGTGTGTTTAGAATGTAAATTTCAAACTTTATTGTTACAGAGGCCGGGCTTATCTGCTGTTAGAAGAAGGAAAAAAAAAGTGCGCACGAGCCGCACAATTTTTAGTGTTCTTGCATGTCACTTTGTATTCACAAGAAAATCTTGCAAGCAGATTCGTTCTAAAGCAAACTCTGTTAGAAACAAAGAATTGGACCAATATGCATTGTAGGTGTAACCGCAGGAGAAACACATTTTTGGTCTCCTGTTCTGACTCATTGAATGAATAGTCTCTTACGTTGATGCATTTTAGTGAATCATGTTCTTAATTTTCACACGAGACTAAAATTTTGTAAGAAAATTTAACTTTTGTTTGACATTCGAATAAGAAATTTGAATTATATTTTGGGAAGTTGTAATGGACCAAATAAGTAAACAGGGATTGTATTAAGCTAAGGGAGTAGAAGTACAATCAATATTCTATTTATTCTAGAAAAATATGAAACACAATAAGAAGGAAAATCTAGTAGAGGGAAAGAAAAGTTCTCATGATATAGAGAAAGGTCAACTACTGAAGAGACGTGGCCAATCTTCATTCCTATTCTGGTTTTTACTTTTATTTTCTCATTTTTTTTTCACCTTTAACGATTTTCTCTTAGTGTAATTACTCATCCTTGACATATTGGTTGCATTATTTGCCTCGTTTTCCTTATCATTCGGATTTAATGTCATCTAGCTAAGTCATTAAATCTAAGTTATATATGACATTACCCTCCCCATCAAGAGTGACCTTGTCCCCAAGGTCAAATATAGTATAGAGACCTCTTGAATGTGGAACAAAGATTCTCAAGTATGTTGATCAGACCTAGTCTCTAGTATAAGAACTTGAACCTCCCAAGAGTCATGAATTTTCACCTTACGCACATCCAAGACAGCAAGAGTAATGATCATGGGGTGGCTGGTAGAATATAGTAATGACAACCGAACATATTTTATTCAATTTCACTTTCTTCGTCAAAGTATTTCTTCTTTTATTAATTTTTTTTTTTTTTTCAAACTTCATGATAATACCGTTGACTCTTTAATAAAAATTGTAAACGGTTTCTTCATCTACATCTTTAATTTTCTCATTAATATCAAGTTTCTTTAAAAAATATTCTTCCTACTTTTTCTTTAACTTTTCTTTTATATATTTATTTGTAATCAACTCTTCTTTCGTCAAATCTAAAGTGAAATTTTTTTTTCATGTAAATTTTAAATATTTCCAAGTTATTTGTATCTTTAATTACACAAAGTTTGTGTTCAAATGACACCTTATAACTTTTCTCCACTAATTGAGTAACACTTAACAAATTATGATTAATATCAAAAAGCATATAAAACATTTGATACCTGAATGACTTTTAACTGCAATTATTCTCGTACCTTTCACATCCATTTGTTCTCTATTACCGATTCTCACTTTAGAAATAAGTGATTCGTTGAGCTCTTTGAAAAGTTTTAGATCATAAGTCATGTGGTTTGTTAAACCACTGTCTATAAGTTAACTTGCGGATTTGTTGATTGTAGAGCATGTTGATGCAATGAGAAGTACCCCTTCTACGCTATTCTCTATAACCTGAACAACTTTCTTTGGTTGTGATTTGCATATCTTTTCTATATATCTCAATTGACCATATTTTCGACATTTCACATCAGGCCTCCACCAACACTTGTTGGGTTGTGATTATTTTTCTTGAAATAAGGACAAACAGAAAAGACTCGTGCTTTTGTACCTTTGTTGTTCTTGATTTAGAGAAAACCTCCATTATGATATAGTAAAGAACATTCACCAGCAGCATGATCTTCTCTCATCAATCTTCGTTGCTTTTGCGCTTGTAAAACATGTAACCAAAGTAATATTAGACAAATCATTTGTATTTTCCAATGAAGTAATAGATGTTTTATATCTCTTTGGCATAATTACAAGAATTTTTTCAACTATTCTAGAATAAGAAAATTCCTTGCTTAACAGTTTTATTTTGTTAGTAATACCCAACAATTTGTTTGAATATTTATTATTTGTCTCAGATTCTTGTATCATTTGTATCTCAAATTCCCTTATCAAGATTAGAATTTTCATAACTCAAATTTTCTCATCCTTTTATATTGATCTTTCAAATAATCAAAAATTTCTTTTGGTGACTTTAGCGTTAGTGAGGATCATTTGTGAAACACCAGCAAACAAACATAATTTAGTTTTTGGCTTCCTCGTTTTCTTTCTCTGTGAAATTAGCTATAGTAGGATTTTCAGGTAGGGGATCAACAATATAATCTTCTTACACAGCTCTCCATACATCAAATCTTTTAAGATAGGATTGCATTCTCACACCCCTTAAGTCATAACTTTCACTATCAAAAATTGGTTGTGAATTTTTTTTTCCTCCATCCATTGTCTCAAACCAAAGCTCTTAATACATTAATAAGAATTTTTAAGGTTTTATGTATGTGTTTTTGTTATATATCATATGAGTATATTTTCATGCATTTACTCTCTATGTATATATAAAGTAAAATTATTACTAAATATCAAATATTATTTAATCATAACAATAATATTCAATGTTGTAATGGTAACCCATTAGCTTTGGCAACCAGGCTTCCTACTCTGGAGTTTGCACAACTTGGTCCGTAAGGTGCTTAAGGCTTTGTTGATTGGTTCGAATTATATACGAGTAACCCAACAAGTAATGGCGGAACTTAGCTACAACCTCTGTGATGGCATAAAGTTCAAGAGCATAGGTAGATTATGCTTGCATATGAGGAGATAATTTCTTAGAAAAGAAAGCAATCGGATAACCAGATTGGCTGATAACCACTCCAATCCCCGACCAGGAAGCGTTTGTTTCCACAATAAAAGGTTTCTTAATTGAAATCTGAGAGATCAACAACCAGAGCCTGTGTAATGGTGACTTTCAAGGCGACAAAAGCTGCAGAAGTCCAATGAAACACATCTTTATGCAAAAGTTGCGTTAAGGGAGCAATAATGGATGCATAATGGTCAACAAAACGTCTATAGTAGCCCGTAAGACCCAGAAACCCACGTAACTAAGTGATAGTAGTAGGTATTGATTGGCCAATCCAGGACAACAGAATCAAGTAATCAATAGAGACAACATGCCTCAAGTAATCAATTTAAGTCCGACAAAAGGAGCATTTGGAAAGTCTGCCATGAAGGTGATATTCCTGCAACTTAGCCAAAACTAAAGCAAGATGGTAAACGTGTAGGGACCAATCAATACTACAAATTACGATATCGTCAAAAAGGACTAAAACGAATTTACGTAAATAAGGTTGAAATACTGAATTTATCGAAGCTTGAAAAGTTGGTGGAGGTATTAGTAAGGCCAAACGACATAACCAATCACCAATGTTTTTAATAATCGTTGTGTTCAGCTTCGAAAAACCAATTAAGTGGTTCAGTGTCGCCAAAACATTCTTTTATTTTTGAGTTATCAGTGTAAAAGTTCTTGAGAGTATAATTTCCGAAAATGCAACATGTTGAGAAATCATGCTGAAAAAAAAAAGAAAAAAAAAAAGAGGAGAGATCGTTGAATTCATATTTATGTTTTAATTGTTTTAATTATGATAAACATTCACGAAACAAATTATAAGTTTGTTGAGGGTTTTTGATGACATATATGTGTTGAGAAACATATTTGAATGTAGTTTGACCCAATGAAATAATTGAAATGTTTAAAGCTACAATTTTGTTAAGAATACTTCATTAAGTCACTTCATAAAATAGATGCATCGAAATGACATCATTAAAATGATGCATCAGTACCTTCAAATTTTGTATCAGAACACAATTGGGCTTTGGAATGTGAGTACTCACTACTGCACAACTGGATATTGAGAAAAATAATTGCACTAGAGCAACATGAAGCTGGAAAAAGAAAGAGCGATGAAACCACTCATTATAGCTAGTTTTTCAAGCATGGAGGGGAAGAAGCAGTGGACTGTTGCAACATTTTAAGAAGTTATTGCACTTCCTCAGATTGCTAATATAACTGGTATCTTGTTGATTTGTAATAACTGGAGGATCAAATACAACTTTTCTCAGAGCATGATTTTTATATATTTTTTATAGATTTTACTAATAATAATATAATCTATTTTATAATTATATATGATGGAATAATTTTATTGTTTCAAATATATTTAATCTCCAATTTCAAGAATTTTGAGTAAAATAAAAAATTAAAATAAAATAGTGGTCCAACTTTAAATCCAAATAGATAGAATAAAATTTAACCTAATTATGTCTCATTACCAGCAACAAATCAAGTAAAATGAACTCGCAATTTGATTGGAAAGTTTATTACACGTACTCTCACTATATAAATAAAAAGGACACTGAAATAGACATAAGTTAGAAGTGTGTGCACATGACATAGTTCTAAGTTATTAAATTAATAATAGTACAGATAAAAATGAATACTTTATTGGATACAAATACAGTAACAAAGCTTTAAAAAGTTTAGATTCACAAGAAGAGATTGTTCAGAGAAAAAAAAACAAAACAAAACAAAAAAACAAAAAACAAAAAATAAAAAAAGAAAATAAAGATATAACGTTGTCTGATATTTCAACGTATCCACCTCCACCACGGTTTTCTCCCTCGTGCCTTTATTGTTTCTGAGGTTTGTTTGTGCGGTCCCATAATTTGTATTTGTCTTCTTTAACTTGTCACTCTCGCTTTCTCTCTGTCTCTCTTCCTTCAATGGCTTCCTTTTCTCTCACCTCCGCCCCTCCCCTTCTTCCCAGACCCAAAGACCCTTCTTCCCATGCCTTCCCTCACCCTCTCCCCTCCTTTCTGCGCATGCCCCACCAACCTCAACACCTTCAAACCCCGCTTCTTTTGCCCAAGATTCAATCTTCGCGTCACCAAACTACAGGTATCTGTCTGTCTATTTCTTTATTTTCACGCTTCTGGGGTTTCTTGTTTAGAACTTTGGGCTGAGATCGGGGACATGACCGTGTTTGTGTTAAAGGGTGCATTCAATATTCATTCATTAGGATTTCATTGATAATGCTTAGTTCTGGCTTTTCTCTTTTTGTCCGGTAATCCTGTTCCACTTACAGTGTGTTGTTTGTCGCTTAGCTTTCATATTTGTGGCATTTTCCAGCTTAGGTTTTTAAGAAGGTGTGTAGAATATGTTACCACGTTTCGAGTGACTGAAAAAAACGATATTAGGTATAAAACTCAAACAATGTCTATATCTCTGGGTAAAATTTTAGGTAGAGTTCTTGAAACAGTGGACGAGTTGTAATGGTAATTTTGGATCTGCTTGAAAATACGAATATAATTTTCCTTTCCTATTCTCTTACACTTGTTTTTTCAGAATAATAAATGGGTCGAAAATGTTCGAACAATGGTAGTTAATATAGCATCATACGCATTAGGATAATACTGATTTGATACGATTCGGAAGCTTGGCAATGCAAATCGTGATGAGCATGGTTTTTGCCTCTGAATTGTCCAGTGTATTGTACAAATCACTCGAGTATTGCATGAATTGCGATCTCCAAGTGAGTTGCAGGTTGATTCTGGCTCACCGGTGATCACGCTATTGTGTTACTGGTTTCAATGTAATCGCGGTTATCACATGAATTGCTATTTCCAAGTGAATAGCATGATCCCAGCACAGCGGTGCTGGCATGCTACTGCTGTTCTGGTTTCAATGCAATGGCAATGCTGTTGCGTTGTGGAGTCCATGATAAAGGCAATCACTGTAGTCTTTTGTGTTACAAGTTTGTGATTTGTCGCATGAGTTGTGTCCTTGTTGCCGGTGTTTTGATGTGTTCCTAGGGCAAATCCGGTGAGTGGGTCCGGGACGAAGGTGTTGTTTAGGGTTTACAGTTCAACATCTAGGAAAAAAGTACAGGAAAAGAAAAGCATGTCAGGTGTGGGCTTTGGATTGGCTTTTTGAAGGTTGTCTTCCCAATTTATGCGTCTTCTCTTCAAAACTCACATATAGATGGTTAGGTGTGTTACTGAGTTTTTAATACTCCTCTTTTGTTAATTTTTATTTTGTTTGATCTAAAATTGTTAATTGGGCGGTGATAATAACCTGTGAAGTTATGTTTATTTGTATTGTTTGCATTTCTCATATGTTTCTTCGTGTTGAAAAAATCCTTGAGATATGTTTTGTAGTTACTGATCATGAATTTGTGCTTTTGTATGTCTTTTATATGTATATGTTCCTGCACACTATGTCTTATTATTGATCATGAATATTAAGATTCACAATACAATTCAATTCGCAATTAGGCTTTCGGATTCACATTTGATATCTCGATATAACTACCTTGGTTCATACCACTCACAAAGTATAAGGTGGCGTGGAATAAATTCATTCTTTTGAATTGTTGTTAAGTTTTGCAGGGCTATTCCTTTTAAATCATTTGTACCCAAAATAACCTGCAGAGGCATAGAATTATGAAAGTTTGGCATGTAACGTAAGGTTTGTTACCTGTAATTATCTTACTTCCACATCAAAACCCAGCTTACAGGACCTATCACAATGATGACTTTTGTAATTAAAGATCAGAAGCTTTATAAACCTAAGATTCTTTTTTTGATCTTTTTATCCATATTTATTTAAATGTCAAGGAAATTGTGTAGCAAACTGTAATAGTTACTTTTTTTTCCTCTTGTTTTTAAGGATTTCGTGGCCAACTTGTCATTTGTTTTCTCAACTGAAGAGCTTGATAAGTTCACATCCTTCCTCTTCTTATGGCTATTTTATCAATAGGTTTGGGTGCTACCTGACCCTATTGCTGTATATCTAGATTGTTTCTTTTTCTGACTTCTAGTGTATTTGAATCATATCATATGATGGGATAGCCTGTGGAATGAGATACATAATGTCCCCTCTACCACAAAAAGGAAAGGATTAGAATCATCCATGTAGGAAGGCATCTAAAACCATTTGTGTTTATTTATGAGTAGAATGTTTCTCCTCTCTAAGTAACTTATGTTCCTGACAATGGGGGGATTTATGTTGAAACAGTTCACTCAGTGATTCAAGGCTCATGCTTTTTGTTTGTTGGTGTCTTACTTTTAGCTGATCCTGGTTTCAATTTTACATTTATGATATGTCAGAGTGTATTGTGACTTGAATTATGTGAACTTGTTATGTAACAGCTACACCAGTTACCAAAGACTTGTGGGATAATACGATTCTGAAAAGTGAAACTCCAGTCCTTGTTATATTCTATGCAAATTGGTGTGGACCGTGCAGGATGGTTCACCGGATAATAGACGAGATTGCAACGGAGTATGCTGGAAAACTCAAGTGCTTCCTAGTCAACACAGACACTGACATGAAAATTGCTGAAGACTATGAAATTAAGGCTGTACCAGTGGTTTTAATGTTCAAAAATGGTCAGAAATGTGATTCTGTAGTTGGTACCATGCCAAAGGAGTTTTATGTGGCTGCTATTGAGAGGGTCCTCAAGTCCTAATCATGGATCTTTGCCAGCAAAACCTCAAGGTGGTGAACATTTTGTTCATTTTCAGTTACATTTTCTTAGTTTTTCAGACTATGCAGCATTGCCGAGTTCTTGTACATATTGTGTGGCTTTTTTTCCCATAATAGGTGCGGCCGTGTGAGACTGCTTTCATAATCAATGATAAACTTTCAATCTCTATAATTTGATTTCATAAGTGTTGTTCAGCTAAACAGAATATCTTAGTTGAAATTTTAGTGTTCATTTGGTACTTGATTACCTTGTTTATTTCCCTTGTTAATTCCTTTCTTTTGGTGACTTCATCCTTAGATCAACCAAAAGGGTATCAGTATTATATATAACAAATTTGTTAATAACTGATTTATTCTATATTTTAACCTAAAAATATATAATGTATTTTAACAAGAGGATGTCTGGTCGGAATTGTTAACTAAAATTGTTTAAAAATAAAAATATTTTATTATAGATTCTAAGTATAAATAAGAGAAAGTTATTTAAAATTTTATATAAACAAATTTTATTAAATTTTAAATCATTCACACTTGGATTTATAATATAATATTTATATTTATTTTTAAATAATTTTTATTAAGTTTTAAATTATTCACTATAATATTTATATTTATTTTTAAATAATTCTTACTAAAAATCCTCTTTAAAAATATTCTAACTAATCTGTTTTGAATATTATTATTATTATCAAATTATTTTATAAAAAGATGTATATCTCTGCAAACGCAGAGATTTCTTTTTAATACAATATATCACATTTTGATTCTTACAAGAATGCTGGAAATATGGACCTATTTGTCAATTTATATTTTATCATCAACTTCCCCTTTTTCATTTCATTTTTCATTTCAATAAAACGGTTAAAGCATTTACGTAATCACATTCTTTAGATAATTTTTTTTTAATTTTATTTCATTTATTCTTTACTCTTTAATTTGTTTATTATATTTTACTATTTTTAAATATATAAATAATAATTATTTTTTAAATTATGATATTTGTTTTATTTTTAATAGCAAATATAAACGATTACAAAATAATCTCCATTATATAATTAAATTATATATATGATATTTAAAAAAAATGTATACTTTTTTAATGGAAAATTTATTTTCTTATTTTGTATTATACTGTAGGTAAGTATATTTTTTATTACACTGTAAAATAATAAAATATATTTTTAAATTATTTTTTATTTAGATATGTAGTTTGTTTTCATATTTAAATATTATGCTATCCATGATAAATTAGATCGTATTTTAACAATAATAGGTAAAATGAAAAATAATTATAAGATATAAAAGTTATTTATAAAAAAATATTTAAATTTTTAAGATTAAATCAAAATATAAATACATTAAATATATAACGTGAGTTAATATTTTTAAGATAAAGTATATTAAAAGAAAATAAAGCATATTAAAAAAAATTCAATCAGCAGTAGCCAAAACTTGAGCATTATTAAGATAATAAGTGCATGGCTTGATGTGAGATTATGTGAAACACTGGGTTGATATATTTTGAATAGTTTCAATTTTTCACATTTGAAAGATGAATTGGAAAATCCAAACATGCACTGAATTATGGTCACAATCGATAAGAAGTTGAAATGAAGAAGATTGATGCGTGTTGGACATATTTATTATAACTGGCTAAGAGTTTCGTGTAGAAAGAAAGTACAAAGCAAAAAACAAAAAACAATAACAAATAATAGTTATTGCCATTGTTCTTGTAGAGAAATGACAAAATAAAAAAATGAACAAAGAATAATGCACGTAAATAGATATTATAAGATGGGACCCCATTAATATACTACTTTTCTTTAAAATAAAATAGAATAAAAGGAATACAATAAACACACGACTATTCTTGGTCGCTAAGGGTAGATAAGATTTTTAGTTTTTTTTTTTTTTTTTTTTTTTAATATGTGATATTCTAGTTTGATCATCAATTTTATATTTCATTCTGTATTATCCGAAAAATCCCTTTCACTCTTCAAGATTGAGATGAGTTCTTTATCAGATAGACAAAGAAATTATTACAGTAACGAATAATTGCACAGGAAACTTTGAAAATACTAGAAATTATAGAGAATTAAATTGGTAAATTATGGACAAATCTTTATTGATGATTTTCTATAATATGTAATATTTACACATGTTATGATTAACATCCCATACAGAGAAGAGAACTATGCTTAAAATTTTTTGTCTCTCGTTTCATTAATATTTCAGTATTAAATTAGTTAATTTTTAAAAATTTTAATTAAAATTATTGTACTATATTTAATATTCCTAAGACTAAATACCTTAGATAAATATAATCAATATTACATGACAATGGCGTGGATTTACACATTCATAATATTGAAAAATTAAAATATTTGGATCAATAAAAATATATATATTATTTCTTAATTAAATTATACCTTTTTATCATGGCTTTCAAGCTCATAATTGACTTCTGTGTAATTAAAAAAAATATCAATATTATTAATTATAATTTTTTTTAGAGAGAATATAATAAATTACAATATTAAGAGCGAGTTTAGACTAAATAACGTTATTGTATTGATGAAAAGAAATTAACAATTTTATTAAGAATAACAAAAATTAAGATTATCTTGATATATAACTCAATTTTAAATATAATACAAAAGTTGAGAACAATTATATATTTTAAAAAAAAAAACTTCAGTTGGTATTAGTGTAATTTACTCTTTTTCTATTATATATAAAATCTTTTATATATATATATATATATATATATATATATATATATATATATATTATATTTTTTTATTAAATATTTTGGTTACAAAATCTTATTGATCACCGTTATCTAAGTATCCCCTCCCAATCATATATTTTTTATTCATAAAATCCAAATTAAGATTTAATTAAGAATAATTATAAATAAAAAACACTTAAAATATATAATAATAATAATAAACAATCTATTATAGTAATATAATATTATTATATTATTATAACGGATTATTTATTAAATGTTTTTTCTTAAACGAGTGCCAGAGTATATTTGTTTAGTTAATGAGATTAAGTCTACTATTACTTATATCAACAGTAATAATTATAAAAAATAGTGTGAGTAGAATATAGGGTTTTGACAATAAAAGATAAAATGCTTTTAAAACTTAATAAATTACTTCATATCCTAATTTTCTAAAATCCATATAAACCTGTTATTTATCTTAAAAATATTACATTAAAATTTAGACTACACAGGCTTAGAAAGAGGGCATTGGAGGTGTAAAATATAAATAAAAAACTTAAAAAGTACTAATATAATTTAGTAAAAAAAAAAAATATAATGATAGGGAGAAGAAGATAGAGGAGGCACGTGCGGATGAAATGGAAGGTTCGGAAAGTTGAGGTGGGCGCCGAAATGGAAGGTTCGTGATACGTTTAGAGCCAATGAAAGGGCACCTGTGTCAGAGAGTGTGTTTATGTGTGAGAGTGAGTGACTCAGTGGAGTTGACTGTACAATTTGGGAACCCCTTCAACAAAACCAAACCTTTTCATTTTTCTGCCAGGCAATACAGAGAGACCCACCTCGGTTTCCGTTCCCCCAAATTCCCTTTCTCTGTGATCATGGAATCTCGCAAATTAGCCGCCATACTCTCCTCCCTCATCTCCCAGCTCCTCCTGCTGCTCCTCCACATTTTCCCCCCCAATTCCCCCCTCCCCAATTCCTCCCATTCCCTCCTCCCCCTCCTCCTCTTCTCCCACCAACTAACCGCCACCCTCTCCCTCTCCCGCAAACGCAAACGCGATTCCCAAGATGCAAATCCCCCCTCCCTCACGCTCTCTCGCACCCCCGACTCCTTCCGCAACTCCTTCATGATGACCTCTTCCACCTTCCAATGGCTCTCCGGCCTCCTCGAGCCCCTCCTCGACTGCCGCGACCCTGCCGAACTCTTCCCCCTCAACCTCTCCCCCACCCTTCGCCTCGCCATCGGCCTCTCCCGCCTAGCCGCTGGCCTCAACTACCCCGACATCTCCGCCCGATTCGCCGTCTCCGTCCCCGTCGCCAAATTCTGCGTCAAGCAACTCTGCCGCGTCCTCTGCACCAACTTCCGCTTCTGGGTCTCCTTCCCCAACCCCTCCGACCTTCGCTCCGTCTCCCAATCCTTCCAATCCCTCTCCGGCCTCCCCAACTGCTGCGGCGTCGTTTTCTGCACCCGCTTCCAAGTAGTCAACGCCCACACCAACTCCACCTCCCGCGTCGCCGCCCAGATTGTCGTCGATTCCTCCTTCCGGATTCTCACCATAGTCGCTGGCTTCCTCGGAGACAAAACCGATTCCCAAATCCTTCAATCCTCCACTCTCTTCAACGACATCGAACAGGGAACCCTCCTCAACGCGCCTTTTAGCCAGTACCTCATCGCGGATTCCCAGTACCCTTTGCTCCCTTGGCTCATCGTTCCCTTCGCCGACCCTCTTCCTAACTCTGTCGAAGCCGATTTCAACGCCGTTCATGCAACAATGCGCCTCCCTGCGCTCCGAACCGCCGCCAGTTTGAGGAATTGGGGGGTTCTTAGTCGACCTGTTACCGAGGAGCTTAAGATGGCCGTGGCGTATATCGGCGCGTGTTCCATTCTTCACAATAGTTTGCTCATGAGAGAGGATTTTTCTGCTTTGGCTTCTGGGTTTGAGGATCGTGACAGTGGGCCGTGTCATTCGTTGGAGGGTGAGGCTGTGTCGTCCAAGGCTTTGGCTTTACGTAACACCTTGGCTAAGAAAATTCATGATTCGAGGAACTCTTGATTGATAAATTATGAACGATGGTGGATCAGGGTGTATGCGATTTCTCGGGTTCCATTGTTGTTAGAGTGGACGCGGAAATGTAAATATATTATTACCTACCTCTTCAGCATTGGGAATGTTTTGCTTTGTTGCTCGAGAAATTTGGATCTTTATTTCTGGATTGGTCCGTGGCTACATATCTCAGACCCCTTCATTCATATGTTGATGTTATTCTTTTTGGTTCAATTTAAATGGACATGTGTTGGTAGGGATAGTTTTATATTGGGTTTTTGGTTAACGAGGAGTGAACTCGTTGAGTTTGTGTTATTTAGTTTGTGTTGCCCATGTAGGTATGTGTCAAAAGGAACCATAGTGCACCCAATTTTGGTGTACACAAGTGAATGTATATCTCACCTTTTTGTGAGAGTAGATTTTTAGTTTTGTTGGCCACATTAGCATCCATGCCAACTATTTCCTGTAAATGCATTCCTGATTGATTCATTGCTTTGCAACTAGGCAGTTGATACTGTCATGCCTCGAATCTTTTGTAGTTTCATTTATTGAAAAAAAAAAACAATTGAATTTGCTTGTGTCGGCCTTAGTTTTTGGTGTGACTTCAGCTTTCTATGGATGATGCTTATGGAGTAGGAAAATTGTGCTCTGCAGACTGCATAAACAATTCATGGGAGTTGCAGTCATACAGGATTTGGTAGTTGGAGGGTAAGATACGCAAAGTTTGATCCATGCTGATGTACAAATAACAGTAATAAATGACACCCGTTTGAATGGAAGGGCAGACAGCTAATACATGTTTGCTACCAAAAATTATATTTGCTTCGACCTACAAGACTAATTAACAAATCTTTAATTGATGCTATATATTTTTTGTCAGGAACAGGATCCTCTTTTGTTTTTACCCTTTTTCTCATCTAAATCAGTATGTATTGATTTCTAATTACAATTGCAGCCTATATTGCCTTTGTAAATGATGTCTGTTCGCATGACTTTTTGTATTCAACTGATGTGTTCCTTCAGGCACTCTTTCTCAATGACATCAATTTCCCAACCTTTTTTCTTTCTGGGCTTCAGGATTTCAGTGTTCTGACTATAATTGTGAGATTTCAACCTACAATGGTGGGTAATGTGAGTGTTACACACTGATAAACTAAGTGCGCAAAGGTATGAAATTGACTCTGGTTAATGTTGAAATGATCAGTGCACTAAACATTACTGATTATTATATACATGTTTTGGAATTGAATATTTCTATAATGAGTTTGAATTTGATTTCTCTTTGCTGGATTTGAGCATTACCTGGTAATCCGAAAGTCAGTCTATTTTGACCTTTTTTTTAAGTCATTAAATAAAAATTAATATAATTTAAATTTTAAAAATACATTTTTATTTAATTTTTTTTTAATTTTTAACCAGGTCAAAATTCATCTGTTAGTCTAACCTAAATTTTGTAATTTTTTAATTTAATTACTTTTATAGATATTTAAGGTTCTATATTTATTATTTTTCAAAATCTAATACATGCTCTTATAATATTTAATATAATCAATATTTAATATATGAATATATATATATATATATATATATATATATATATATATATATATATATATATATATATATATATATTGCAGTTTTTGTTTCCTCTTGGCTAATTCATTTGTCAACCTCACTAAGTGGTTTCAGTTGTCTTCACCTCCCTCAGAGGCCACTGTTTCCTTTGTTCTACTCCTAAATATTAAAATAGTATGAAAATGAATTAATTAATGAAATAAATAATTATTTTTTGTCTAGTTTAAATATTAAAAAATATTATATATTATAAATTTTAAATATACTTATGATATAATAATTAATTTATACATATATAAATAATATTTTATCATAATTAGTATTTCATGTTTTATTTTATTCTTTAATTTATATTTTTTTTGTGTCAAATGAAATAATTAAAGTAACTAATTATGAAATTTAATTTTATATTTTAAACTATATTATTATTAAATTTATAAAAAACCTAACTACTATATAATATTTTAAAGGTAAAGTATTTTTTTAATAATAAAAAATTGATATATAAAATAAAACATTTTATCCTATTATTTTACATTATTATAATAGTTCACTCAAAATTTTAATAATGAAATACTTAGTTTTACATTGCATTGCTAATTAAATAATATATATACTTAATTGTGTTAACAAGATGTAAAGTATTTATCCATATTATATGTAAAGTGATATAAGTCTCGATGATGAATTAAAATTTGATAAATCTAATTATGAGGATGAAAATATCGAAAAATCATTTAAATTTAACTGATTTATGTCTAAAGATGAAGAGGAAAGATATGCCCTATTAGATGTTGAGATTAAAGAAAAGTCAAATAAATAAAAATTTACATTTATTTTACACTTTATTATTATTTTAAGTCTTATTATCAGCTTAAACTTTAAATTATAGATGTAATTATTAATTCTACTCATTTTTTTAACGTGAAAACATAATTAAAACTACTCATTCATCTATATTTTAAATATTCTTACACATAATCTTTAATTGCTATAAATATATTTGACTTATCAATATTAAAATTTTCTACAAATTGACTGAGTATAAATGTATAAATTTCCAATTTTCTTTTTGGCATGATTAATTTTTGTTGAAATATCATAATAATATATATTCAAATAATCAGTGACTGGATCTTGACCATCAATCTTGTGGGGCCAAAGAATATATTATTAATAAATAATAAATAAATATAAGAGGAAGAAAGAAGATAAAATGGTAAAATGATAAAATTGTAGATATATATTTAAATATATTAAATGATCATTAAATTAGAGAGAGACAAAATTATAAATTATATGAGAGTTATAAAACTGAGAAATGACTCGATAAGATAAAATTGTAAATATACAAGTAAATATATACAATATTCATTAAGTTTGGGGGACAAAAATCATAAAATATATAGGAATTACAAAACTTTGAACGGTTATGTCCCTCCACTCTCAAGAAGATCCGCTACAAGCAACCTCCACTCTCAAGAAGATCCGCTACGAGCAAATTACACAATATCTATAGAAGATGAATATATTTATTTCATCCATGTTAAATTCCATTTTATTCCGGTTGGGTCTCGACTCAATCCGACGAATTTTAAAGCCAATTTAAAACATGATTTAGCGTGATCTATTTAATAATAAGGTTAGGGTTGAATTTTTTTTCAAAAATTATTTAATTAAATTAGTTAAGCTTGAACTTATGAAAAATCTATTGAATTTTATAAGTGGACTTGCTTATTTATTTAACTATAATAAAAATCAATATACGTATTACTATTATTATTATTATTATTATTATTATTATTATTATTATTATTATTATTGTTTAATATTTTTATAAACTAAAAAAATTCCATATCATATCTATAAAATTATTTAAAATAAAAAACAATTAGTAAAATTAAATTTATCATAACTGATTAAATCTATATTTTATAATTAGGCATGTTGATCTCTTAATTTTTTGGATTATTTAAAATTTGGCTAATAGTTTTAAAAAAAATTGACTTCTTATATTTTGTAATAGGGAAAATGTAACCAAATCTAAGTCTCTCACTAAAATATCACACCTGCATTATACTTGGATTTCGAGATCATGAGGCATATGCAAAAACCCCAACCCAAGAATATGTGCATAAGGTAAATGGTTCAGATATTTGGACTGGTATCTTAATACATAATATTTGAGATACTCTGAATTACTCGAAATATTTGATATATATAGGATAAAATAGAGATGAAAAATAAAGATGAAATATATTAAGATTTCTCCTATTACATTCTTTATTTATAAAAAGTTTTGTATCTAGTGACAGTGTCTTCTTGGAAAGTGAGAGGATCGTGACTCTCCCAAACTTAAATAATTATTTAATATATTTACTTGTATATTTATAATTTTATCCTCTTATTACTCCTAACTCTTATATAATTGATGATTTTGTCCCCTCAAACTTAATGATTGTTTAATATATATATATATATATATACAATTTTATCATCTCACCTCTTATATTTATTTATTATTTATTAATAATATATTATTTTTCCCTTCAAAATCAATACTCAATATCCGCTACTATTTATATATATGAGTTAATATTAATAATATATAGTATTATAGTTATATGTGATTTTATTATTTTCTATTATAATAAAATTAAAATTATATTTAAATAAAAAATTAATTTTTAATAATGTTATTGATTTTATTTTTTATTATAAGTTTTTTAATTATATTTTAATTTTTTTAATTTGTACTTGTCATAAATTTTTATACATGATTTTTAATTAACAATTTAAAATTTATTTTTATATAATTTTAAAATTAATTACTTTAAAACTAATTATTTTTTATTTATTTTTATTAAATTTTGATTAAGAATATTTTAATAATTTAATAAATTATTTTATTAATATATTAACATTCTTGTATTCAATTATATTCTAATTATCATTTTTATTTAATTTATTCATTACAACAACAAGGGTATTTTGTTATTATATTAAAAAAATTATTATTCAATTCTTTTTATATTTAATTACATCAATCATATTAATTAACGTAAATTTACTCAAATTTCATCATCTTTATCCTTATCCAAATAATCCATAATTCAATTTAAATGTTCTCATATTATTATTAATAAAATAATTTATTATCAATAAATAATAAATGAATATGAAAAGATAAAAAAATATGAAAAATAAAAAATTATATTTGTATATATATATTTAATAATTATTAAATTTAGAGAACTCAAAATTATAGATATTAATATAAATTACAAAATATTAAAAATAATTTACATCAAAATCATAAGTTATAAAATTTTGGAGATTATGATCCTTCATCTTTTAAGAATATGAATCTATTTTATTAAACTCTCGTCTCAATCCAAGTGGACATAATTATGTACTCAAATTCTATAATTTATATTTATTTATTTTTAGTATATTAATATTAATTATTTTATTTTAAAAGCAGAAATTTGGTAACAATTTAAAAAAAAAATTATCTTCCATTGCTCTTCCCTGTATTTCCCTGTATTTCTTCCTTTCGGTTATCGTTGACTATCCATTACAGAAACCTTCACAGATTCCAAGATCCAATCTCTTCCACGGTTTTTTTCCTCTTTTCCATTATCTTCTTTGAAACCAAATTAAAAGTTAGTTTATAGTAAATATTAAGGAACTAAAAATATAGTAAATTCAAATTAAAGAATTTTTTTTTAACATCTCAAACTATTTAAAAATTTATTTTTTATTTAATGTTTTTAGTTGTAAGAAGGGCTCGTGATTGGTTGGTTGTAAGAGAAAGATTTAGTTGCGGAGGGAAATGACAGAGGCCGCGTGGGCTTTTTCTTGGATCAAGGCGTACAGTATATAGGAAGGTACGGTCCATTGTTTATGCAAATCTAATGTAAATGCGCTCTTTTTCTCAACTTCCTAATTAATCCTTCTTCACTTTCACTCTTTCTGCTCCCCCACTAAAGTAAAAATTTCAGAATAAAAAACCCACCCAACCATCCATCGCAAAACCCACTCCTACCCTTCTTCCTTCGATTGCTTCCTCAACTTTCTCTATCTCATTCTTCTTAATCACGCACTAATTATCTTCCGGATTCATCCTTCATTTGCTATCTGTTCAGGATCAGGACTCTGGATTCATGTTCCTGCAGCGTCCGATTTGATTCCCCTATTAGAACGCCTCAATCATTCCATAATTGCTGTCAATAATTATAGGTATTCTCTTATTTGCATTTTTTTAATTTTGTTTTGTTACCCTTTCTTCTTCTTTTCTTCTTCCTCTTCTTCTATTTTTAATGGAATAAAAATTAGTTAGACCACTGACAGCACCGTTTTGGGATTTTGTGTTTGAGATCTTTTTCTCTTACCAAAGGTGAAAATTCCGATTAGTTCTGATTAGAACAGGTTTCAGTCAGTCAATTGTAATAAACAGTTTGGAAGGAATATTTATGTTTCCGGTTCAAGTAATTTTTTTCTGTTAGGATTTTTGTGCTCTGAATTTTGTTTTTACAGACCTAGGTTTGAGAAAATTCATTTTTCTTTTTTGTGGTGATAAGTTGTTAGAAATTGTATAAAGTTTGTTTTTTATTTTATTTTTTCATTTGGTTGTTGGTCTTAATCTCAATGGAATTGGAATGGAGTCTTGGTTCAATACATGCTGTGGTGCGGGTAAGAGTTGGGGTTTATTCAGTGGGGATAGATTTTTATGATACTGTGAGTATGTTAATATGACGGTGAACTAGGCTTTGTGGTATGATTGTGATTCCTTGAGACAATAAAATGGGGCGATGGATAGAAATCATTATGTCGTGAAATTATTTTTATTTTTTATTTTCGAATATGTTTCGGAACCTTTATTTTGGGAGTGTTCTTTTTTTTTTTTTCAAGAATCATGCTAGTCCTTAGTTTGGCATCCTTCACCATTGTTTTGCATGATGCAATCTCTGAAGTAGATACCTTGCATTGGACTTTCTTTGATAATCACCCAGTTCTGCTTCTTCCTCTCTAGCGGTTTAATCACTGTTTAGTTACCCGTGTTGATACTTAATAATTCCTAGGATTGATACTCTTATGATTGAAGGGAAATAATCTGTTTTCATCCCAGTTCTGTAGGTCTTGTTCTCTTCGCAGTTGTTGCATCTATTTTTGGGTCTAATGGCTAGAGAATTCAAGCCTGTAGCACTTCCTCTCACTGTGTTGCAACATGATATTTCTGGGATGTGTTTTATTGAATGATGTCTTCACTCCGTTATGCGTGCAGGAATTTCTGAATTTATAGTGCATTGATGGCTACCCCAAGCAAATCAACACCAACAACATCTTCAGACACTTTGGAACAGAAGGGGAAGACTATGGCTGAGTCAAATGCAACCATTCTTCAATGTCCTTTAAACCAGCAACACCATAGCTCCTTAGATGGCCCAGTAGCAATCCTTTGGGATATTGAGAATTGTCCTGTTCCAAGTGATGTACGCCCTGAAGATGTAGCAGGTAATATAAGAATGGCTTTACGGGTGCACCCAGTAATTAAAGGAGCTGTTATGCTGTTTTCTGCTTATGGGGATTTCAATTCTTTCCCTAGGCGACTTAGAGAAGGCTGTCAGAGAACTGGTGTTAAACTTATTGATGTTCCAAATGGGAGAAAAGATGCTGCTGACAAAGCTATCTTGGTTGACATGTTCTTATTTGCTCTTGACAATCCTCCACCATCCTCTATTATGCTTATATCTGGAGATGTTGATTTTGCACCAGCACTACATATTCTTGGTCAACGAGGATATACTGTTATTCTTGTCATCCCTGGTGGGGTGGGTGTTTCATCTGCCCTATGCAATGCCGGTAAATTTGTCTGGGACTGGCCTAGCGTGGCACGTGGGGAAGGCTTTGTGCCCCCCTCAAAAGCTTTAGTACCAACCCGGGCAGGTCCAATTGAGCTTTCTGGATATTTGATGGGGTGCCATATCAATGACAATTCTGATGGATTAAATGAAGAAGAAGCAATAGTTTATAGAGGTATGTCACAAAGTTATTTCAACTCAAGGGAATTGTCATTGGTGTCACAATCACTGTCTGAATACAACTGTGGCACCCCGAACATGACTTGCATGCCAACAACTATGAGATCACACAGCCTTCCATCTGTATTCAATGATGTTCAAGGAGGGTCTATGATGCCTTCCAGTGAACATAACGAATGCCAGTTATGGGTACAGCCTGGGGATTTAAATGGTCTCAAGGGGCAGCTGGTAAGGTTGCTTGAACTTTTTGGAGGATGCCTGCCTCTGGCCCGAGTTCCAGCAGAGTACCAGAAAGTTAATGGGAGACCTCTTTATGTAGCTGAATATGGGGCAGTAAAGTTGGTCAATCTTTTCAAGAAGATGGGTGATGCCATGGCTGTGGAAGGGAAAGGGAACCGTAAATTTGTGTATCTCAGAAACTGGAAGGCAGGTCCAAGTGCTCCTCCTCTCTCTCTGGCAAAGAAAGATAAGAAGGGAAAGGGAGCCCAGGAAGACAATGCGAATGTTGTCACTGGTGGATGCTCTTCAGATGAGTTCTCAGATGAAGAAAGAGTAGTGGTAGAAGAACAAGATGAAAGAAGTTGCACAGGCAAAGGCAATCAGGGGACAGCGGCCAAATTTGAAGTTGATGACTCTGTTATTGAGCACTTTAAGTATGAGCTGCAAGAGATTCTAGTGAGCTATTCTTGTCGAATATTCCTTGGTTGTTTTGAGGCTATATACGAGCAGCGATACAAGAAACAGCTGGAATATCAGAGATTTGGTGTGGAAAAGTTGGAAGATTTGTTTGAGAAAGTGAGTGATGTGGTGGTATTGCATGAGGAACCAGTAACCAAGAGGAAGTTCCTGGCTGCTGTGGATGGTTAGAAAGCTTGGCAACGAACTGCTAGTTACTTTAACCGTTCTGATGTTTAAACTTAAGCTCAGGAATTACTTTTCTCTCTAGCAACCTCAGCCTTTTCAGGCTATTTATTCCTTAGAAGTCTTGTAAAAATGATATGCTGGGCGTATGTGTTTTTTTTAGTCACTGTCCTGCATGTATCTGAATCTTCCCTAAAATTTGTGTTTATTTTCAGTCTCTGCAACCGATTAGCTAATTATAGGAATCGGGAGACGTGTACAAGTAGTAGCTTTTGTACTTTTATCTTGTATCCTTTTTCACTATACAATTCTTCCATGCATGTTGACTTGTTGTAATACTGATACTGATACTGATTGAAGATCATACCTTTTCATACTAACTTGACCTAGAAGTTTCAGTGGGGAGTGGTTACTGAATACTGTATTTTTTTAATATCACTGTTTACCAATGTTTCTACAAATGTCACTAAAGGTTGCCACTATAAAAATTGTAGCATGGCTGACCAGACTGGCAGCAGAGGGAGGATCATAGCTAAGAAAGACACATTGCTTATTAACAGTGTGGTTGAAACTGCTTTGAGAAGCCCATTTGACAAAAAAATGTTACGTCATAACCAGAGCAGATAGTTCTTGTTTCTACATTTTTTAAGTTTTGGACGTGAAAAATTACGTTCTAAATTTGTTTCCAAACACGTGTATTTCAAGTTTAGAGCTTCTCAATTAATATTTCCAGACATGAAGCTTCGTAACCATGCATGGCAAAGAGGAAATTTGCCATGACCATGAAATTGAAATCTGTCACCCAAAAAGCCTCAGGTACAGGCGCTGTAGGTTTGAAAGGTCTTGAAACAATTTCTTAAAAGTAGTATAATTATGAACATGGTCATGTTCTTTGACTTAAACTATGTGCAACAGCAAGCTAAAGAAGGTAATAAAAGCAAATGAAGTACTATATTTCTCATTTCTTCCAAGATTTTCACATACGGAACCCTTGACGCTTTCTCCTACTTCCTAACAATCCACAAATTTGAAGTCAGCGAGTAAAAGAGAAATTCAAAATTCAAGTCAACTTGAAGAATCTAACGATTATTTCAGACAGAGAACATATTCGGCGGAGACTGTGGAGAGCCAGTCTCCAGTAAAAAACTTCTACTGCAATATGACCGGGATGTACTCGAAGATGAAGCAAGATATCTTCCCTCTCCGCTGTGAAACAATGCCTCATTTCTGAGCATTTTCCCCTTGCTTCTTCTGCCTCTATGCTGACTTCCCTGACATTCTTCATCTTCGACAGCTTGTAGAAAATCACTGTGCATGGGTTCTGATGTCTCATACAGAAGCCTAAGTACCTGTTTTATTGAAGGCCTTGCTCTTCCTTCTCTCTGGGTGCACCATACTACTATAGATATTACTGTTTGGAGCTGATCCAAGTCAAAAGATTCCCTCACGTTGGGATCTACTAGCTCCAATAATCTCGTATCTGATTCCATGAATGGTTGAGCCCATTCTACTAGATTCTTATTATCTTGAATGGCTCGTCTTCCTGTTACAATTTCAAGTAGTAACACCCCAAAACTGTAGATGTCACTTTTGTCGGTGAGCTCTTGAGTAACAACATATTCAGGATCCATATAACCTGGAATTGAATTTAACATCCAAAATTTTGTCAATGATGAAGGATTATAGCTGTAGGTCCCTGGATAGAGAACCACCCTTACAATCACGTAAAGAGCCAAAACAAGCCAAGTAAAATATAGTCAAGACAAGAATTTGATACCTGGAGTTCCCCGGATTTCAGTGTTTACAGGTTCAAAGCATACTGATCCATCGGTTGAAGCTTGTGCAAGGCCAAAATCAGCTATCTGTGAAATGATGTGATACAGGAAAAAAGGGGTTGTTAACAATTAACAGCATCTAATGACAGCGTAGATTTAATAATCATCAAAAATTTGCATTTGTTTGGAGCTCGGGCTACAAAAAGAAAATGAATATTAACGGGAGAAATGGTGGCATGTAGTGCGAAAATCATCCAACCTTGGCGACAAAGTTCTCATCCAACAAAGTGTTGCTAGATTTAATATCTCTGTGACACAAAGGAGGATCACAATAGAAATGGAGATACTCCTGCACATGAAAGAATGCAAGGCTAAAAAGTAAAATCCATAAAATCCATAAAGAGAATAGAGGTTTAAAAACAGTCAGGCAGTCTATTGAGATAATGCTTGAAATTAAATTAATCGCAGATATTACCAGTGCATTGGCCACATCAATGGCAATTTGGATTCTTGTCCGCCAACTTAAAGGTGTTTTACCAGGGGCTGTACAAATGAACAAAATATCTCACATGAGATTAAGGGTTAATGGGGAAAAGAAGCTATGATTTTCATCTGTTTCCTCCCTACTTTAATGCTTTTAGTTTGTTGCAAAATATGTTTAATTGGCATGTTTAATATCGCTGAAGGAGCTGAGCTAGAAAAAAGATGCAGGAAAAAACACATAAGATCCATATAATAGATACAAGCACAAGGGAGGAAGATAGAAGTACCATTTGTTGTAATTTGACCAAATATTATACACAATATGTTTTCAAAGCAGTGTGATGTGTGTATATTTTTGTTTTTCTTAAGGAACAACAATCTATAGATATCGAGAGGCATACTATGAAGATGATCTTTCAAGCTTCCATTTCCCATGTACTCATACAATAGAAACCTGCCATAAACATGCAGCAGGGTTTGATTCATTGGTATATATGTCAAAGAATATAATAAGCACAGAGAAACGGATACCTCTCACGTTTTTTAATGCAAAAGCCTCTTAAGGCAACAAGATGCCGATGGTGCAGCCGGGCAAGAAGCTCAATTTCTCTGCAGAACTCCTCCTCCCCCTGCTCAGAGATCCTGTCCATCCGTTTAACTGCTGCAACCACGCCATCAGAAAAATTCGCTTTATATACAGTTCCAAATCCCCCTTGACCAATGATAGTGTGAAAATCCTCTGTTGCCTTTTTTATCTCCTTGTAGCTGAATTTTCGGAACATAGATGAAGAACCTGCACAACCCCACCCCAAACAGGAAGCAAAATAAGAAAAAAATAAAGTGCTAGTTTCAATATATCACTGCTAAGAAGCAAATAAACAGAATAAGCATGATCAACCAGAACCTTACCTTCCTGAAATTTCCATGTTGCACAAGGAGGTAAGGTTTTTGAACAGGGTTTACCAAAATTATCTGGCTCGTCTAGCTCTCTGCTTTTCTGGCGAATTAGAACTATCAAGACTATGAGTGTGATAACAGCAACAGCTGTAACTGCAATAGCAATACCTGGAACTAATGTCAAATGATATGAATGGTGGTTTCCCTTTAAAGGTGCACTTAACAATGGTTGACTTGGGCCATCAGCAATCGGTGGCCTTGGAGAAGCCTTCGGAGCAGGCAAGGAGGATGACTCTGAAACTGGCATCACAGTTGCAAAAATATGATCAGCTAAATTTTACTTTATTGTTAACAATATACAGACTTCATTGTATTCATGAAAAGAATATATATTAGTGTAAAAAGAAAACAAATAGAGCAGTTATTAGGCCCTTATTACTTACTATAACTGCTAACTAGTAGCCTTGATACAGTTTTTTCAATGCATAGTTTAGTTATACTGTTTTCTATCATTGTCATGTCGTACCAATGCAAAGGGATTTGTGCAACAATTGCTTATTTAGTTAGAAGCAATTACAGAGAGAATCTACAACATTCTGAAGTAGAGATCTCATCCATTTTATTGGCTTCACATCATAATAAATCTCAAAGACATAATCATATAATGTTTGCAGTAGCATTAACACATGAAGGAACTCATTCACGCAGTGACCTGAAGAGGGAGAGTATTATCATTAACCTTTTTAATTTAAGACATTCTTACCAGGGATATTGAGAAGTCCTTGAACCCCAAAGAAACAAATTGCAATGTCAATTGTAGATATCTCATCAACTTGGCTTGCTAGTGCAGCAAAAGTGGCATCACGACACGTACTTAGTGTTATATTATCTTCAATTCCGATATGATGCAGATAACCAATGCCGGCATTTAAGCACTTCTTACATTTACTTTCCTCTCCAAGTGGTGCTATGCAATTTTTAGTGACTTCTGTAAATCTGGGGGATTGCAGCATTTGGACAACACTTGTTCGCCCCTTGCATTCATAATTAACAGGAATTTTTGTTCCGAAACCACAGAAAGCTGTTGCATTTTGTGCAACTCCATTAAGTTGCATGGTTTGAAATATGGTTTGGAGGCAGATGTCAGATGCATTTTGAGGGACCCCTAGGTTTCCTGTTGCATTAGCAAAACGAGAAACAGCAATTGCGACGTTAGTATTAATGTAGCGGCAGCATTTTCCTCGGTCACCATGGTCAGAGCATAGAGAGGATGCCAGTGTGAAGTTTGAACGAGTAAAATTCAAAGGGCAATCTGCAAAAGGAGCAGCTATATTAGCCCATTATATCACATCTTCCACCTGTATTGCCAACGGTTTACTACAGTACAGTTAAAAAGACTGACCAGTCATGTTAACTCCTATAAATTTATTAAGATACAAATATAGCAGTTTTGCTAACCATTACCCTGAAGGAAATGGTTCAGGAATCAAAAGTGAAAATATCATTACAAATGTAACTTTCAAATATTACCAATGCATATCTACCATGATTTCCAATAAAATCTTTCTTTTCTATTTGTCAATTCCTTAACCATTTCCCTCAAGGCAATGGTTAGAGAAACTGTAAAGACATACTCAGTTTCTGTGCAAATTTTAGAATGCATGAAGTAAAACTACACCCGAAACAGGTCCAATCTTGGTTTCATTTCATGACATTCTTCCAGTATTAGTTTTGAATACGTAGTTCTTTGATTATTACTGTTTAGCGTTTACAGTCACAATATGTGCACAATGAAAGTTTTTGGATCCCTCCCTGATCATGTCATAGTTCCCCTTGAATAAATCTTGAGTATGTAAAAGTATTGTGGAAGAGCATCTAGCATCTATCTCAATGAAATGAGTACACTGCTTAGGTTTCCAGCGAACGCTCTGAGCCTGATGTTCATAGGTAATAGGCATACATTTTATTTGAGTAAAGCTATTCTTTTGACATATAATGGAACAAAAATGAACTTGTTACGAATATATGGATATTTTTTACTCGAGAGCATTCATATAGTAAGGTTATGCACCAAGGTTCCTAAATCTTAAGACATCAAGTGGAAGCCCAGATATGGTTTATATCTCTAACATGCAAGCAAATGACCTTTGGATTCAAAGCACAAGCCAAATAAACCCTGTTTTGAAATTATGATTTCATGAAAAACTATAGTCCCCTTCCAAGAGAGATGCTAAAATTATACCATCCTCCATTCTTATTTTAAAATTACGCTATCCTGCCTTTCAGAGATTAATATGTACAACAATTTAGTCCATTTTTATTTAAACAAACCTGCTAAAGAAGAGATGCACTTACTCAAGGAGTAAGAGTTAACGACTTACTTCATATCCTCAGAGTTCATTTTCTTATTATCTAAAGGTAAAGATGAGTTAATATTTTAGACTATTAAAAAAATTGATGAGAAAGAAGAATAAGTTTCTAACTCTTATCCTTAGAGTGAATCGATCCTTCCTCAGTCTCTTCTCTTTTTATGACTAAGGTCAACATTGTTGGCAACTAATTTTGAATCTTTTTTGGTGAACTTTGAAACTTCAGAAGATAAAATCAATAATTTTAAAGAAGTTTCAAATTAATAGTATGAATTTACAAAGCATCATTTCCTTTACTAGAGTCCAAAAATTGATAACAATTTCAAAATTAGTTATCAGTGATCTTAAAAATTGGAATGAAAGGAAAAACACTCTTAGGAGGCCAATCACAGGTAATCATCATGACACACAGTCATTACACTATAATGGGGTAAAGTGCAACACATATTGATCTCTCTGGAGAGGGGAGTATAACTTCTAAAATGAGAAGTTGGGATGGGGGTGTAATTTACTTTAATTGAAGAAGAACAATAGGGGCAGCAATGATGAAACTCTTGACTATTGGATCAAGGACCAACTTTCTTAAAAGTACTATTTGATAAAGTCTTGTAACTGTTCTCTATATTGGGCAATAACATACTTTAAAGTTCATCATAATTCATAACAGTTCCATTTTATATCGTTTATAAACCAGCAAAAGGTACAACTGAGAGTGTCGGATGTGCAGAGATAGCCTTATCTATTTCTAGTCTAGGTTAAATGTGGCCAAATACTTCTACTTTCTGCTCTTCAGAAGGTATAACTCAGTGTTTCTCTATGAGCAAGCCTAGAGTAATTGTGATTTTCTGATTTTGTAAGAGCAGTGAATTGAAAACTTTCTACATTAACTTCTGCAATCATTCTGGTGGTAAAAGCTTATGTTATGACCACAATTCCATCAAGATACCTGGTCCTGTATTCAAGCAACTTTGATTTTGGAAAAAGAAAAGAGGGGAAGGGAAGAAGGTGAGAGAAATGTTAGCGGCACATTGACAATGCGTGTAAATGTCCAGATTCATTAACACCTGTCAATCCTTTCTCATCCCTTTTAGTTTCCCAATGGGTCAAGAATGCAATGCAACGGGGAAAGCAATCATAACTACGACCAATGTATAAATGCGCCAAGAACATCAAACACAAGTTCCAATTTATCACATTGGCGTTATTAAATACCCGTTCTGATTCATTCCCACCTCGACACCATTCCTTACCCGTGATGTGTAAAAGCCATATTCCAGAAATCAATGCACTAGCTAGTGTACCCAGTATCGCAATAAGGCACAAAGGTGGAAGATATTGAAGCAAAGCTAAGAAAGGAAAGAACTTTTGAAGGAACTAACCAGCCATTATGACAGGAAGCTGCATTCCAAGAAAAGCCAACATTCCCAACAAAGAGGCAAGCCCGTAGAGCATGGTGGAGTAGTTGGAAGAGAAGAAAGATGAGGACTTGAAGGTACAACAAGAGTGTGTTTTTGTGTATGTGTGTGCCTTAACCACCCATTTTGGGAACACCATTCACCGATTCTGGCTGCTACAATAGGTTTTATTAGACTTTTCAGAAAGACCGGTGGGTGTATGGGCGTGTAAGTGCGCGCGTGTGTGTGCGTGTGTGTAAGAAAAAGAGAGAGAGAGGGTTTTGTACTTTTGTTTGTTTGGCTCTGAATAAATGCGCAATGAAGAAGAAGAGCAACAATTTTAATGGATGCTTTCGTGGGGTACACCTTTATTTGTTTCAGATTCCACAGTACCCGTAGGCTCCCCTTTCATTTTTCTCATCCTCTTCAAACCTCCAAGCTAAATAAATGCCTCTCGTCAAATACCATGCACAAACCAAAACAAAATTCAATCTTGTTAAGTAGTTCTAATAAATCCCACTTTTTGAAATGAACTTGAAAATCTTTATTGTGTTCCATGGAGTATATAATGATAATTAAGAAAATTGATTTGTACGAAAGTGTAAATTTTTATTGTGTAAACTTGGTACCTGAATGAAAACGTTACCTTTGTTGAAACAGCACTGTGACTATATCCTAACGAGTTGAGACAAATGTGAAGGACAACACTTGATATCATTGTGGTGCTGCATTTATGAGGCTAATTTTGATTACTATTTTATTTTAATTTAATGTGTGTGACAATTCACTATTTTGGGCATGGGATTTGAGCTTGCTTTGTTTAGCCGCCGCCGCCATTGCTAAAGCTTCAGACAACTTTACTACTTTACTAATTTTATGATAAATATCTGAAAATGATTACATTAACTAAACATTTGTTACGATATCCAAATTTAACTGAAAATATTGAAGTATTAATTGTTGTTACCTCGTCTCATCTATAAGTTTGACACAGAATTTCTGTAATTTTTCATACTCTATTTTTAATCAATCATCAATTAGTTTTCTTTCTTGCATGAAAATGAAAATTACAGTTTTTATCAAACTTCCACACGATGTAACAGAACAAGTAATTAGACTGACAATAATAGCATTTCATTATTAGACTATAAAAAGATTTCAATCATGGAAAATAGAGGGATTCACTTGAGTTCAAAAGAATAAAAGGGAAGAGGTGTTTCATTTGATGGATATTTCAGATAGTATATGACAATTAGAAAAAATTTGAAAAAGTAAACTACGAAATGGGGAATTAAAAAGGTTAAATTAAAACTAAGAAATAAAAAGAGGAATAAAAACGTTATTTTTTTTATGGGATTTGTTTGGAGCGAGGGACAGGAACGTCGGCAGAGAGTGAGATTCTTTCCTTATGGAACGTAAAAGCTTAATTAATCCTTTACGTGCTTACTTAATCACTCATATATCTTTTCGTTCGTTTTGTTATTTTTTAAGAAATAAATATATGTTTTTTAATTCACTAAGATATTAATTATATTTTTAAAATAAATAATATCTTCACTACAATAATTAATGTTGAGGATGTTGTTAGAATATGAGATATAGACAATTTTTTGACAAAATTAATTTTTTTAATTAAAATATTTATAATATTTTGAAGAAAGAAAGAATGTAAGTAAATGAATGGGTTCAGAAGTCTTTATCAGGTCCAAAATCAAACAAAAAACGTGTCATGGATTTAGCTGCATGAGCATGTGAGGATGTGTGGGACCACAGAATGGCGTGGAGCGATATTTGTTTGTGTTTGCCCATGGATTTCGCTATCAAATCTCTCCAACTCTTAAGCATCCATCGTTCATACATCACAACAAAACATAACATAACTAATTGCTTCTCACATTTTTCTATTATCTACGATTGAAGTGTTCATAAGAAGAATATATAGTGAGTATTGTAGAGAAAATTTAGAAATTTTATTAACCATTTTTCTAACGTTGCATGGAGAAAAAAACATATTTCTATACTAAACAAAATAAATATATCAATAATCTGACATTAATTTATCATTTAAATTTTAAGATTCTGGAGATGAATGATAATTGAATATTAAGCCCTACTTAGGTATCAATTTAAGAAATGTTAATGTTGGTTAACGTGCAAAATCAAATTGTTTAGCCAAAGAAAAATGTCAACAAGACCAGATCTATGAAATATTCTACTACTAATTAACAATATGCGTGCCAGCTATTCTTATCTGTTTTTGGCTTAATAATTCCTATTCACAAATTGTATTAAGAAATTAATATATAAATCAACAACTGTTTTATTTTTAGTTTTAATAATTGAATTCAAAGTATTTTTATATTAAAATAAATAAATCAATTATTTTTGAAAGAACGTGTTTTGCTTTGAAATTTGTATTTTGTATTTTGAAAAATTAAAGAGGGGTTTAAGAGTCTCACTTTTGCAAAAATTGAGGCACCTAAAAAAGGTAAAAATCGAAGTCTGTCTTATTTCTCTCCTATGTCTTCAATTTTAGAATCTTTAATAGATTTGTTGAATTGTGATATGAAAAAGTTAGCTTTATAGAACATAAACAATTGTTATCTAGAATGACTTGTGAATCATGTTCATTAAAAACATGTTTACTTGGAGGAGAACTATGTACAAAAGGGAAATTATTGTTCTTATTGTTGCGTCAAGTGACACAATTGCTTTATTGATTTAATAGACATTGTTTTTATATATAAACATTTTTCTTGTTAAACAAAGTTACCAACGTTTTATAATTTCTAATTATAATGTAGATTAATTTGAATTGAATTGTTTATAAGATATAATATATTTTTTTAAGCATCAAGTTGATATGTTCTAATTTCTGGAATGTATTTTTCTGAAATGTATCTTTCAGTGAAATCATAATCGCAATGACCAATCTATAGTATCAAAGGCTAAACATTCCAATTATCTATGTATGACTTAATTAATTAATACATCAAGACTTACGTATATTCAAGGGTGCATATATATAATTTCAGCATTTTTTTTTATACTTTTCCTTTCCTCTAAAATTCTAATATTTCATAAAACATCCAGTTATTTTCATTTTATTCTTTGGGTCACCATCATGATATTATATGTGTTTGTTAATTACATCTATTTTAATTTTTTACAACACAATCTTGCTATGTAATTAGACCAAAGCATTCCTAAATTACTCTGAGATGCATAACCCTTTGGAACCTTTTTAGACAAACTAATGAAACAAACGAAATATGATTAAAATATATGTAACCATTCAAATATATGAAGTTTCATTTCGAATATATATATTAGTAGGTTGTCTAAGTAATAGCCAGAACAGAAAATAATGGAGGTAGGTGACATTTATTTACATCGTTTCCACTCTGCCATGTTGCTTTATATTCATACTTTCATCTTTGTTCTTTTGCAGAACTACCTTCTGATAGCTACTTTGATCAGCACAAGTCTTGTATTTGCTTGCTACATTGTTCTCATGGTACTTTATCCTAACTTTAATATATTTGTAAAACTTTGGCTCAACTCTTGCTTCATCAAGTCACGAAAATTATAGCTGAAGAATATTCAATGATTTTGCTTCATGTTCTTTAAAATTATATCAGTAATGATATTATATATATAATACTTCCATAAAAAGATAACAGCAATTCCTTCACCAGATCATGAAACAATCTTATTTATTACCTTCTATAGAAGCATTTAGTTAACAGTTCAAGTCTTTAACATAAAGTTTAGAAAGTCACTGATAAGTAATAATAATAGGACTCTGGCATAGTGTATTTGAAGTCCTGTATATCCCAGAGAAACATAATATTTACGACTTTCTAAAGATGTATTTGATAAATTATTTAATTTTTTTCCCTTTAATTTCTCTTTGGTTGTAAAATTATCTATTAAATTTTTATGATCAGTTTATAAATAAAACGCTTTTCATTTAATAAAATAATGGACTTATTCAATCTTTCTGAAGACACATTTGAAAACGAATAAGATTTAATAATTTTAATTTTTAAAACCTGCTTTCAGTTAAATTCACAATTACATGAACAGTTAATATAATATTTTATATCTGCTATTAATGTATTTGAAAAAAAAATTTAAAAAATTAAGTTGTGTTTTAATTTCTACATTTTTTAAATGTTTGATTTTGAAAATATTTGTATATTTCAATTATAATTACACGTGAAATTAAAATTTATTATTACTAGAAGTATTCATATTTCATGTCAATTTCTCAACCAAAAATTTACACAATCCTATTTTGTAGTTTATAATTGTTATAGTGAGTCAAGAAATGCTTGTATTTATTATCAGAAACGCAGATAATTTTTATATAATTTTAAAGGTGTAGGATAAATATGTTTTTAATCTCTAAACCAAAAAATATATTTTAGTTATTAAAATAAAAAAATAACCTCAAAATTTGAGTGATTGAAATAATTTTTAGTCCCAAACCATAAATTTGAGGAGTAAAATCATAGTTAAATTATAAATTCTAAATATTAATTACGATAATCAAAAGCTAATTCACTTATGAGTTTAATTTTTCTTTTTTGTGAGTAACTTTTTCTAATAGGTTGGAGAAACATGTTCTCGAGACATTAATGATTGTGACTTGGGATTGCAGTGCCTAGAGTGCAACTCGCAAAATCGGTGTACACGAATTCAAACTATAAGTCCTATTTTAAGGGTCCTTATTAGCCATGTTCTTTATCCTGTCTTCTACCTCTTAATAAATTTTATATAAGAATATAGTGAATGATGCATAGGTGAAGGATCTTCCATTCAATCAATACTCATGGCTTACAACCCATAACTCATTTGCATCGAGGAGAGTAAATTCAAGTTTTGGTTTTCCACTTTTCGCCATCATCAACCAAGAAGACTCCATCACAGATCAACTCAAGGTATGTTATATAGAGTCTTTCCGTGTTTTCATTAAAGATGAAGCAAATGAGAGTTATCGTTTTAGATTTTAAAGACAACTTCAAATACATATATGTTTATATATTTTCAGACATTTTCTGTTGCAGAATGGTGTGAGAGGATTAATGTTGGACATGAATGATTACAAAGATGACATTTGGCTATGTCAAGGGATGTGCTCTATATATACAGCTTTTGTAAGGCATTTGTAAAAATTTCTAAATCACCACTCTATATGCACAGTGAAAGTGTATTTAACTTTGCTATCTGATACGATTTAACAGCAACCTGCGATTCATGTTCTAAAAGAGATCAAGGAGTTCCTAGTAACACACCCCACACAAATCATCACCATATTCATTGAGGATCATGTAGATTCACGAAATGGTGTGAATAAAGTGTTTAATGCGGCAGGGCTGAGGAAATTCTGGTTTCCAGTATCGAAAATGCCAAAAAACGGTGGTGATTGGCCAACAGTCAAAGAAATGATACGAAGGAATCATAGGTTGATTGTGTTCACTTCAAATGCTACCAAGGAGGCTTACGAAAGAATTGCATTTGTGTGGAATTATGTTGTAGAAAATCACTGTGAGTCTCATAATTCTTTCAAGATCAAGTTATGTGTTAAGTTGATATTATCTTTACGAGTTTTGATATTGTAGATGGACATGATGGGATGAAGGGAGGTTCTTGTTCAAATCGAGTTGAATCATTTCCAATGAACACAACAACAAAGTCATTAGTCTTAATGAACTACTTTAGAAATGTCCAAAATTCCAAAGAAGCATGTAGGGATAACTCATCTCCTTTGATTGCCATGATGAATATGTGCTTCATAGCTGCAGGTAATCGATGGCCAAATTACGTTGCTGTGGACTTTTACAAGGTAAAATTTTTGTAACACTTTGCAAACCACTACCTTAAGAGCATCAACAATAAGCTACACATGTCGATATATTTTATTCAATGGAGCTTGTTTGGTTGAAAAATCCAGAGAAGCGATGGTGGGGGAGCTCCAGAAGCATTAGATGTGGCAAATAAAAACTTGTTTGAGACGTGAGAAAACAAGCTCAAAGCAATCATCTTGGGAGGTATTCAACGAATGAACTAATTATGTTATTTTTTGTTGCATACGATGAAGGGTAGTAACAGACTTTAAGAATATATGTGTGCTTGAAGTTTGTCTGTCCCCACACGCACACACAGAGTAATGTTATAATTAGAACTCACTTGCAGAAAAAGAAAAAATAAAATTGTACAAGGCTATGTGATTTGTGTGAAGTTCCTGTGTTAATTAGAATTTTATTTATTTTTTGTTTCCAACAATGTGATTTTGCACCTCTTAGCTTAAATGAACCATTCTTCTAATGAATCTTAGTCATGGAATTTATTCTTGAAATTGTTGTTTAGAGTTAGATATAAATAATTAGTTAAACTGAAAATTAAGAATTAAATTGATTATCATGTCATGGACTTGATTATGGTTTTCCTAAGAATGTTACAATTAATGAATTAAGTATATCGTGTTATTTTATGTTTGTTAAAGTTAATTAAAAAGAATATTTTTACGAAAATTCTAAATAAATAATATATATTTTTTCAAAAAAAAAAAACTAAATACGTACCCATTTAATCTATATCATATATTTGAATAAATGTTTAACTTTTATTTTTCAATAATTTTCTTAAAACCGTCACCATATTTATATTTCAAGATTTGTTATTCATATACAACAATTCTTTACATTACATTTTATAGCATTACTTTTATCTCTTTATCTTTTTATCTATGACGTCCTCTTATACATCTTCTTTCTATATCTTTTACTTTGTATAAAGTGTTC